TGAACACAAATTAGTTAGCATAAATCAGTTAAATGACGAAAAATTAGGTGTTTATTTACTTGTGACCACTCAGTGTATTATATCTTAATGAATGTTTTGTTTACTTGTTTATAAGTGTGATGGTCTTGAGTGCTGATCCAAAGTATATTTTATTCAGATGAAGAAAAACTGAAAGTATGCACAGTTTTAATAAAATATTTTCACTAAACATTTTACCGTGAATACATGGAGTCAAAGTGTCGATTACTCTGATTGCAAAGTGATTTTCATATTCAGATTACAAATGCTTTTCTTCATCTGGAAAATCTAAATTCTCATTTGCACAATCTCTAAAACCTCCTAAGTAAATTTCAATAAAACTTTTTATTTTATCTGTTATTTTCTGTACACCTAGAAATGTATGCTGACCTCATAACCATTACATAAAAAGGAATCTAAATAGCTTTAAACTCCTAACAGTATACATCTGTTTCTACTTAAATTTTATTACTTTTTGAACTGTGTTTAATTAGTATTCCTGCCACCCAAGTTGTAAATTGTTTGGCGAATGTGTAGCTCACATTACACTATCGAGTTATGTAATGCATGGACTACTTGTGAGTTGCTTGTAAGTGTACCTTGTGAAAAAATTTTATTATCATTATTACTATTCTTTATTTTACCATATCTAACCTATTAAGTTTCTAATTTTTAAGTATTAGTTACTTTTATAATAATGAAGAATACACATGAAATACAAGAAATATAATACTTACCTGAGTCTTCTTTTTTCTATCAATGAAACTCAACCCTACTTTTTGATACTAATGGTACTAGTACGCTAAATAATTTTTTATTTAACAAAATAATGCATTTAAGAACACAGAGTAATAACACATAAAAACCAGACATTATCCTATAACCATGGTTTGTATGGTCGTTAAAATCCTGGAAAAGTCATTGAATTTTAAAATCACTTTTTCCAGGCCTGGAAACAGTGGGTTTTTAGCATAAAAGTCATGGAAGTTTTGTGTAGCCAATAAAACGGTATCCTACAAT